ACTGCCTTTTCCCAAATACATGCTTTCAAGGTCTAGGTTTCTTCTAGGGCACTAATATAGCATGAGAAGAATCAATTTGGAGTTCACAGATCTGAGCTCCCATCTTGACTTTGTCCATTTTGTAGCTATTTCATCTTGGAAAAGACACTGAAATTCTTGACTCTCAATATCCTTATATGCCATGTAACTATGATGATGATAATGATAGGCACCTTCACTAATGGTATCATTTCTGTGTTTCCCAGAGAAACGATACATGTGGAAATGCTTTTAAGAAATTAACATTACTACTATTAATATTATCCTTCTATTAATATAATTTCTTCTTTGGACCTTGAATTTCTTTGCATCCCATTATTTCAAGGGCTCTTCCTGTGCCATACAGAGATAAGTTATGTAATCAACTTTGCTGAACCCAGCACCACAAGTTCAAATGGGTCCTGGAATCTCTGGGTGTCTTTTGTAGTGAGCAGATCCAGAAAAAAATCAGTTGTCTCTCATTCACAATTTGCCTCCACACTAAATCCCTTACCCTGGTCACTCATCTTGTTAGGAAATCCAGAAAGCCCACCTTCATTCCGCATGGCTTTCCTCCTCTGTCACCTCCAGCTAAGCAATAATTCCTTCACCTCTTGGATGTCTTTTGGCTTCAACGCCTCTTCCATGCTCACTGTGTCCACTGTGGGGGCCTCTTAGTAGTCTTGCCATGCGTTTTGTTTTAATCCCTGGTAGCTGTTTGTCTGTCCTCACTCTCCATTTTCTAATTTATCTTCCACAATAAATCTGAAATGTACTTTCCAAAAATGTAGATATATGTACAAAATAAAATCAATATGTGATTGTTATTTTAAACATGATATAATACAGGCAAATACAGAGCAAAAAGTGAAGATCTTGAAATGCTTTAATCTCAAGGTAATCAGTGATTGTAATTGTGGGTACCTATTTTTAAGACTTGTGTCTGTGTGTTTGTAAACACAAAAACCCAATTCTTTTCCTTTATCATCTTCCATTTTTCCTCTTCCTTCTCCTTCTCCTCCTTGTTCTTCTTCTTAACGTGTCTTTAAATTTTAGATGATGTTCCACACATTTACAGATTGCTTTGCCACTTTACAATATATTGCATATTTTCCCAGATGCACTTTGTTAATTGTAATGGCTACTTAGTATTTCTTTCCATCAGCTTACTCCTTTAAACCCCTGTTCAGACCATGCCTAGTCTTTGAAATCACAATCATTCCATGGCTATCTTCATATTCACACCAATGGCAATTATTTCCACAGGACTAAGTCTTTGAATTGGAATTATGGTAATGTTGTTGCACATTTGAAATATTGATACTTATTGCCCAAACACATACCACATGGTAAAATAGAGCTCACAAAAATTCCTGCCACAGGGTACACACACAGCGTTGATAGCAAAGTTAAAATCAGAGGATGTTATTCTTCAGCATGATATCCTTCGATACTTCTCCATGGTCCTTCACACGGCACCCCCATCTTTCATGACAGGTCACCAGACCACCATGGCAGTCTCATTTCTAGGCATGTATCTTTTCATTCCAATTCTGCCATCATACTGGGCTACTCTGGGACCTCGAATCACGGTGCTGCCCCAGGACACTTTCCTTTTCAGACACCATGAGCAACTACAGGGTGGCAGGTGAACACGGGGTACTAGTGAGGCACCATTCATCATTGGAGGAGTGAACATGGGGTACTAGTGAGGCACCATTCATCATTGGAGAAGTGAACATGGGGTACTACTGAGGCACCATTCATCATTGGAGGAGTGGACACGGGGTGCTATTGAGGCCACCATTCGATTCATTGGAGGAGTGTGGACACGGGGTACTAGTGAGGCACCATTCGTCATTGGAGGAGTGGACACGGGGGGCTGCTAGGTGAGGGCACCGATTCGTTCGATTTCAGAGAGTGACGACTGGG